CAAGAACGTGAAGCAGCGTAGCGACAATAAGCGTCTTCGCGAGGCTGGCTACACGCCCAATGCGTCGTAAGGTTCTCGTGAGGTCGCAGCCGAGGTCTCGCGTCGACCTTGCTTCGGAAGGCCCGGTAGACCCCGACGTGACCTTGTTTCGGCATTTCTGCCCAGAGATGTGTGCGCCATCATTTGAGATGTCAGCGCTGAGGTCAGAGCGGCGTCTTCTTGAGACTTAGCGAGGGACATCTGAGCAAGACCGCCCTGATACCGAGTTGACATCCTCTTTGGGCTTTACTGGACATTAGCTCGTAACCTCAGGTAGAGATGATACCTTGCGCTGCATATAAAGGCTGTACTTTGGACTACAGGATGACTTGAGGCCTCGAAGTATTTTAGGTATTAATAATATTGATTAGAGCAACCAGAACAGATGTAGTACTACGGTGTAAGGAGTGCTACACAAGTCCCCACTATCTGTTTGTGGGACTTAGAGAAATTCAAGACGCGAACTGAATTCGAGCGGAGATTGAACTCGAGCGACTTCACCCGTGGTTCAAGTCGTTCCACTTCTTCAACTCCGTCTTTCACTCTCATTCTCGCTCCGATCTCCCGCTCCTTGTCGCTGACTCGCCCGTCCGCCGCACCACGAGACAGTGGACTGCCTGCGTGACAGAGCTCTGGCTGCGATGTCCGACATTCATTGCTAACTGGTAAGTGATGACAAACTTTCCCCGACACGTCACTCACATTCATACAGGAACACTCGGAAGGATATCTTATTCACTCAAATATTGAGCTTTGGTCGGTGGAGTGCGTCTGGGGTCAGGGTGAATAGGGTACGTGTATTGTAATATCATCATGGTCTATGCTCATGATCATGTGCAGAATGTGCTGTTTCATTGTGGCAGGCGGGTGTGACTGCGACAGGTAGTTTGGTATTTACAAGATTATATGTACTGTATATACACAGTGTCTGTAGATAGCATTGCAATATATGCTTCATTTTCTCATTCATATTCAAGGAGCAATAAAATCAAGCAGCTGTATGAAATGTGAAAGCCCGCTGGCCAGAAAACCCGCTTTCTCGTTGTCCAGCCCGGATGTCAGCTTGATGCCCGACTCCGACCTTGACTCGACATACGAGTCAAGTAGAGGCCAAGTTGATCCTCGGTTTTTATATCGAGTCGATGTCACGCGTAGGGCCTGGTGGGGTCTGGCGTCTGACCTTGCCGAAACCCTTTTTTAGACTGGGCGTGTACGAGCCGGAATTCATCCCTCGCGGCGGGAAACATCACGGAAAAGGCAAAAAGGCGCGCTCCGGCCCGCCCCAGCCCTACTTACCCGCCGCCCCGTCGCTGCCCGCCTCACCGGTCATCACTCCTTCTCCGGCCATCACTTCTTCCCCGGCCGTCACCCCAACTCCTTCCGTCTCTGGCGATATCGACGTAACTATGACGGACGCGGATAAGTCGGCTGGTCCCCCGGCCGGTCCTTCTCAAGGCCCCGCTGGGACCCGTGGCTCTAGTGGCACCGCACCTTACAAGCCTCTGGGTGGGCTCCGCTTCCATAAGAGGAAGGGGCCCAGGGTTGATGAACACGGTCTAATCTCTCATTCTTCGTCCGACGAAGATGAGGAAGACAATGACAACGAGAAGTCCGAGGCCACGGCCAAAGACCTTCCCAAGGACGCGGAGCAGAAGTAGACAGGCTACTTCGGAGGGAGGTATGTGAGGATTCGGCCCGGGAACGGGGGCTATAGGCGGTCCAGGCGTGGGGAGACTCGCGTGCCGTGCCGATTGTGGCTGAGGATCGGGCTGTGGCTTAGGGATCGAGCAGCCACAGTATTCAGTATCGCTGTATCCCTCATTATTTTCCTTACCCTCTTACTCAGCGTTCAGGAAGTTTTCCATTGTCTAGACCCTACTGTTATCATATAAAAGACCTAGTATTGTACCGTGTAGAGACAGGCGTTCTACAATCGAGACTTTACCACTGTCTACGAGCGTGTGA